TCTCTCTCTCTCTCTCTCTCTCTCTCTCTCACACACACACACACACACACACACACACACACACACACACACACACACAGAATACACACATTCACACTCACACACACACACACCGAATACACACATTCACACTCACACACACACACACACACACACACACACACACACACACACACACACACAGAATACACACATTCACACTCACACACACACACACACACACACACAGAATAAACACATACACTTGTAATATATAATTATATTAATAGCTTTATTAAATAAGCTACTGACTCCCGGATCTGGGACAGAATTCGACATTTTCAAAGTCGTATTTGTCAAAACCGAAAACATTTAATGGGGGAAAAAAGATTCCACAGGTTCACAACAAGTTTCCAAAGACACGCCACGAACAGGACACATAGTGTCACTTGAATATATCTTAATGTCGCAACATTTCCTAGCTGGGCTTTTATAACTTACATTAATTTTCCTATTTATTACCTAGTGCATACTACCTCTGGTCTGTTTTGTGCAACACTGCACTGTGATACGTTTATTATAGATAGATAGATAGATAGATATGTCTTTAGAGGTATATATATATATATCTATATATATATATGTATACATATATATATATATATATAATTATACATTATATTTTAGTTGCGAGCGCGGTAAAACCCTCTACTATAATAAATAATAATAATACATTATATTTTCTTTTAAAATGCGTGTTTTTACACATACACCCCCTCAAAAAAAAAGTATATATCCAAACCAGTCTGTGGCCTTAAATGATCCCAAAAGTGTTAATGTTTAATTAATATTCCCCAGCTTTGGGGCCAGAAAATTTTATTTTATTTTTCAGTTGTTGTTTTTTTAAAAGCCTCCCTTCAAAACTATTTGCTCAATCGAATGGAAATTCTGTTTCAAAGAGATAGCTTCATAAAGTCGAGCTTCGATTCTGACTGTCAGGACCAACCCGGCCGCAGAAGGGGACATAACATCCCAGTAGAAAGACCGAGACACTCGTTAAAAAATGCTCCCCACATAGGAATCGAACTCAAGTTCTCCGCTTGCGATGGCGAAGCGCTCAACCGCAACAGCACAGATGCCGGTTCCTTGGCTTTTAAAGCTCTCATTTACATTTTTTAAATTCATTCCAAGTTATATAGTACGCTCTTAATTGTTTGTGTATATCTGGACCTTGGTACGGTAAACCTACACTTTTATTTATATTGCCATGGCCAGTTTCTATACACCGTTTGGCAAGCATAACATTACTATTATATTATAAAACACATGCACACACACACACACACACACACACACACACACACACATACACACACACACACACACAAACAAACACACACACACACACATACACGCTCTCATATTTTATATTATATCTTCTGGACATTGAAATGATACACAGTGGCATCAAAAAGAAACTTGAAAATGTAATCACCCAATCATCGTGTTATAGCCTTGTACTTCCCACTCATGAATCATACCAATTTTAATGCTAAATAAATTCTGAATCATTTGACGAAATAGTAATCCATTTGTGTTAAGAGATGACAAGGATATGGTCACTCAAAATTAACCTTAAAGAATCAGGCTTGTCAAAATTGTGCCATATCAAAGAATCGTAAAAGTTTGTTCGTGCGTATATTGAGGTGCATCAACATTGGTGGAATGGACATGTATCAATTATCAAATGAAAAGAGAATATTATTGTCTCTGTAATGAACAACATCTTCTAATGATATCATTTTCAAAAAGATGCCATGCAAGGCCGGGACTTAACATCACGTCGTGTGCTCATTAGTTTAATTGGGGGGGGGGGGG